CTCCAAGATGATTGACAGTTCTGGTAGAGCAGAATGCTCTCCATACCCATCAAGGATTCAGTTTTCCTCATCACCATTAGCTGATCTACATGCCAACAGAAGTGGAAGGCAAGCTGCTGTTCATTATGCTGTTTCTTATCAGAGGCATCATACATTTATCAGTGGATGGAAGATTTCGTAAGTAGCTAAACTTTGTGTTTTTAAATTCTACTCTGAACAGACAGACAAGGGAAAAATACTTATTTTTATATGTAAAGATAGAAAAAGGGAAACAAAAAAGAAGTGGAGCCCTGGAAAATCTCTGGAAGCGAGGTGATAATTTAAATCACTGAGGCTAGACAAGACAGGTGAGGAAAGTTTCATGGAAGAGTTTTGCGAATGTCTGACTTTCACATGAGCTTGAGCAGGAAATGTTCAAACTTGGGACCTAAATCCTCACTAATCGTTACAGCACAGTGGCACAATACAAAATACCAGGGCTCCGCTCTGGAGCTGTGGGCCAGCGTTCGTGCAATACTAGATATCCCAATCTCATGTGTTAAGTGAACTTGAGACTGTTGAGTATGGAGGCAAGTTACGCCACAACAGCTCAGGTTTAAATTATCCATGTGAATATGTTTTTTAGCAGTTATGGGTAGCATTCTGCTTCTTCCTTCACATCCTTTGCTTCTTACTGTGCTTAGGACTGCATATGAACGTCAAGTCTCTGGCTGTCTGAAGGACCATGTGACTCCTCTGTACTTTGAACTCAGATAAACTTCTTATTGAATGAAGTCATGTGTAAAATGCTTTCCAACAGAGATTATTTTGAACCAAGCTGTACTAAGAAATGCAACAGAATTTCAACACTCGTATTTCAGCAGCAAAAAGGAACCATTCTTGTCCTGAGTGCAGTGCTTTGAGGGGAAGCACCAGACCCCCCCCACATAAACAGAACTACACTTGTACTAGACTATGGAAGTAGATAGTATTTTAGTTTGGGGAATAAAAAAACCATCATCATACTTCCATATAATCACATGTCAGGAAAAGACCCAGCTTCTGTCTAATCAATGCATGCAACTTTGCTTCCAAAAGACATCTTCATAAATGACAGTACCCCAAGTTCAAAACCAGTATCAGGCCCAAGCTGGCCATATGGGTGGAGCAGAATTTCTGTGTGCTTTTTAGCCTGAAATGATATCAGATTTTAGCTAATATTTGGATTAAAAAAAAATAAAAAATCACAGCCCTGATCATTATGGTTTTTTTCCCTAGAGGCAGAACATATGGCTTGTATCCTGGCTGACTTCCAACCTGAGTAATTACATACTGACCACATAAGTTTCCCCTGTGGTTTTAAGTGGATAAAGCATTCCTCTCCAGTTCCTCCTGTGGCCATTTATACCTCGTTGTGGAGCACTATTAAACAGCTACTGCCCTCTGCCCCAAAGATAGCTGCATTTTATTAGTAAGTGAAACAATTTCTGAAAGTTATAATTATATCCCTGACCCCTTTAAATATTGTTGTGAGGGACAGGGATATAATTACAATTTCAAATATAATTGGGGAGGACATGGATCTTTTAAGAGGCATTTTGAGTTCCTAATCGTATCCATCAGACATGATCTAATATAAGGATGATGTTTTCATGCAATGAAATTGATAGACAGAGATGTTATTTTTCCTAACAACTTCAAGTGTTAAAAGACCTATCCTTAGGTTCATACAATGTATTTAAAATCAAGCCTTTCTGAGGATGTCGAACAGTCTATGAACTCACAAAGAGCTCTGTCTTGAGAAAGATTAATATTAGAGAAGATTTGGGCAACCTTTCTGCTCAAAATGATGGGACAGGCAGACAAAACAAAAGAACAGTTTGGATTTTGGCTTTTATACTAGGGCATTAACTATTTTGATTGGTGTGTTGCATTTGAAGGATAAAGAGAACGAAACAGAATAAGCTCTACACAACACCTCAGTCCACCACGTATCTTGAAGATTTCAAAGCACTTTACAACCGTTTAGTACCAATAGGAGATACTGGAAGCAAGCATTAGGAGAGCCATCTTACAATGAGCTACAGAACCAAACTAGGTACCTGATCAGGTAAATTTCTGCCTCCCTCCCAATCAGGATTGCAAAAACTTAAATCAGGATGAAAATTACCAAAAGGGAGAAGCCATTTTGAGTACTTTCATTTTTTATTTCCCAACGTGAAAGCATCAGAATTCCAAATTTCCAACTTACATAAACTATCAACTTTAGCTAAAGTCTGCATCATTTACTACCTCTGCAGATATATCAGGTTCACTGTGACAAATTAGGCACCTTGAAAGTCAGAAACCCCTTTAGCAATTTCCCCTGCATAGGATCTAATTGACACTAAGCAGCAGAAATACCAGCAAGAAAGCCATTTAGACCAGTCTATATTTTAACCACTTGGTCTGATTTGTAAACTACTTTGAAGATGAAAAATGCTACTAAGCTGTTCAGTATTACTAAATCAAGTCATGCATGCGAACAAAATTCCTTCTGCACGAGAGCTGAATTATGAGTGTTCCTATTAACTGATCAATCCACACGCATGTATGCCTACACACACATCCGTATGTATGTGCAGTTTAAGCGATCTTGCATAACACACGTTCACCTTGTTTTCTACTTTAGAAAAAAGTGTGCAAAGAAAAGGAAGAAAAATCAACTTTCTTATAAACCAGAAACAGGTCCACTCTGAGAACATCATGAGTGGTCAGCTTTCTTCCATTTTGCTTAACTTTCTAAACTTCCTTCCTCTTTGCACCCCCAAAATGATCAGTTACAGGATTGACGTACATGGCAAATGAGAAGCCTCTGGTATCTATAGTCACAGATTCATTGGGATTCTGCTCCCCGGCCCTCTCTGCTCATCAGAGCTGGCAGAGGATTCAGACTGGTGGGAAGGCTGGAGCCCACAGAGCCAGAGCAAGCAGCCCTTGTCACTGCAAGCCTCAGCAGGCTCATGGGGACAGCGCTGGCAAATGACCCAAAGGCTGGTGCCATGCGTACAGAAATGCACTCAGGCTGTGGGAACACTGTTTGATTAATCCATCAAACTGGGCTGTGACACTGCTAATTGAGAGACTAAATTTTTCCTGCGTTTTGATCAGGCCAAAACAACAAACAAACTAACAAAAAAGGCAAGTTTTAGTAGGAAATATAAAATTTTAAGTGCCTCTTTAAACACTTTAAACGCACTGAAACAGTTCAAGCCATTGCCTCTACGAACAAACATAAAACGGGATACATCTCTGGTGTGCAACATTGCCATCATGCGGCCATTCCAGCTCTGCAAAAACACCAGCAGTGACAGACAGAATTGGAACCTTGCCCCAGTTTGGAGCTTTTGAAATTGTATTTAATAATATTGGCAACCTACAGAAGAACTGATGATGTGGTGATAACTGTCTCATAACACCCCTCTACAAATAAATGCACTTCCTTCTTCAGACCTGCTCTTTTTTATGTCAGGTAGCAAATGTATTTTTCATTTTCTGAGTAAAACTGCTGCCACAATTTTGTTGCAATGCACAGTACAGAGTACAACTGAACATCAAAAATGTAAAGAAACATCAAAAATGACAAATGGAGCATTCTTGATGTCAGGAAGCCAATCTTTAGAAGTAATCTGAATGAGAACAGCACAATGGCCAGGATCAGGAAAGACCTCCAACACAGGAAAATACATGGAAGCTGGCATAGAGTCAGAGGGGGAAAACAAAGCAAATGAATCAAATTAGTAATTTAAGATGAAAATGAAATAGAGTCAGAGGGCAAAACAACGTGGAATGCAGAAGCAAGCTGTAATAAAATACGCAGATGGAAAAGTTGTACATAGTCAGAAAATAGTAACAGAATTAAACCGGATGCAGGGATCATGAGTGGCTCAATTAGAGCAGCAGTGAAGAAAAATAATTATCAGAAGTTGTTGATCTACACAAAACTTGTGTTTCCACTCATCTGGAACCCTGCCCAAGCAAAGCAGGCATGATTTAGCTCCTGAAATGGCCCACTGCTTGCTTGAATTACAGCTTTAGTGAGGGACACATACACACTTCTTAAAGAAGCGACAACCTTTTGCCTGCGTACAAGAGCATAGGCACAACAGGAGCTTTCTGCCCAGCTGGCACAACAGACAAATACACACAGAAATAACAATCACTGGAACCAAATTCAGTAACATCTCTGTTAGAAAAACATCCCTCTGTCAGATATAAAAACCTTGTACTAAAACAGCGCTAAAGAAACAAAGGAAACTTAATCACTTATTTCAGGAAAAACATACTGACAGGCAAAGAACAGAGGCTTAACTACCACAGGTGGCTGGTAATACAAAAGAAGATCCTGTTTATGTTCTCGTCTCCTAGCACTTGGCATCTGTAAACACCTACAGGAGCCTGCAGGCTGCCACCATTACAACTGGAGCAAAGTTACAGCATTTGGGAACGCTCATTCTACAGCTGAACTGCCCAAACTGGGTAATCAAGTAACTTTCTTCTTCACCACATAATTTTGCATAGAAAGCTTGCAATATCAAGTTGGTTCAGAGTGGAAACTCTGAACCAACTTAAAAAGCCAGTGAAGGAAAACAGATAAATATTTACTATTACCCTGAGCTGCTGAGATGGTAATTATACCTTTTTCTTTTTTGTTGGTGTTTGTTTGTTTTGACAGATTGCATAAAGCTCATCTGCTAATCAGTTCCTGAAAAGCATGACTGTTTTTGTTATGCAGTTTCTCCTGCTGGTGTAAGAGGGCAGAAGCAAAGTTTGTCACTGCAAGAGAGCTTTGTTGTCTGTGTCATCGACCAAGTTTCTATACGCTGCTACAAGGTGCAGTACATTTTTGTAAGAGACTATCCTCTATTATTTTTGCTGATTAAGTGCAAAACCAGTCGAAGGGTTGAATTAAAATATTACTTTCCTTTTCCATTCAGGACAGTCAGCTGTACAGCACATAAACAGAGATTTTTCAACAGAACATGAACTTGGTAGAGAAAACAATGTTCCAAGAATATCTGACAGATCAGGGGACTGTGGTAAAGCCATACTGCTGGCAGAGACAGAACCACATCTGTGCTAAATGTCCCTACCACATACGGACTGGTGAAGAAGCGAGAATCCCTCACGCAGAATTTCACAGGGTCTTTGGCTTCCCATACAGATCAACAGCAGCTATCCAAACCAAACACCTTCTCTTCTATGAACTGAGGAGTTTCTCAGGCAGAGTAGTCCAAAAAGGCCATGCTACAAACTGTACTGACCACGACAACCATCCAGAATCTATGCTGTTTGAGGTGGGTGGTTATCTGGACGCAGTTACAGATGCCTATGAAGACATTGGATGCATCATCCTCTATTCAAATTGCTCTCCTTGTAATGAGGCTTACCACTGCTGTGTAAGCAAAATCTACAACTTCTTGCTGAAGTATCAAGAAGTCACACTCTGCATCTATTTCTCTCAGCTTTATCACACTGAGGATGGTTTCCCTGCTGCCATATGGAACCGTGAAGCTTTGCGGAGCCTCTCCAGCCTGTGGCCTCAGATGACTCTGCAGAGAATGCCTGGGGGGGCATGGCATTACCTCCTCTGCAATTTTGTGTATGGCATCCCAGGGTCAACACTTCATCATCCAACTCCACCATCAACAACCTTAGCAGATAGACAAAATCCACACCAAATTAACAATTTGACAGGAATTAATCCATATTTTAGAAAAGCCTTTCCACAAGCAATTCAGGGAAAGCCTGTTGTGCTGCAGAAATTAAAAGCCTTTTCTTCTCCTAGCCCAGCTTCTCATCAGCCTTTTCAAATGCTGAAAGGCAGTCTGCTACCTCCGATGTCTCAAAGCCACTCAGTGCTTTTCCCAGGCATGTTTCTGCCCTTTCAGAGGGAACATCTACACCCCAGACCTAAACATATCATAAGGCATTTAAAAATGCCAAAGGAGTAATTCAATTAAACTCATAATTTTGAAATGTTTCCAAGTGGCAGACACATGCTCTGAAGAAGATGCAAATCAAACCACTTTTAGGCTGTAAACCTGAGATCATAGATGGCAAAAGACCCTCATCAGTGAAGTCATCTCCTACAAAAGTGAGCCCACAGAATAACTGTGGGCCTCAAATAATTGGTTATGAAGATAATATACTTTTATTTTAGTCCTATACCTTTCAAACATAAACCCACAGCAGTAAAACCAAAATCTCAGTATCTTCTGATTACCTCCTGAGGTTAATTTATTTGTTGCCCTTATGCCAATTTCTACCAGGAAAATGTAAGCAGTCCACAAGCAACAACCACAGCTACAGTGGACTGTGGCTTCCCAGCTGAGGCGATTTTGATGGAACACATAACGTATCCAGAATTCCTCCATCAAGGAGGTGGTTCTGCAGGTAAGGCTGAGAGATGAGTATAATTTTCCCACCACCTGTTTCCTTTATAACAGGCCATCTCTAAAATATCCCATCGTCAAATACAAGTCTGTGCACCAGTGACTTGCCTTTTGCTGGCACCTCTGAGGTGGGACGCTCCAACATCCTTGGAGACAGAGGCACTTCAAGGAGAAACTGGGGCTTGGGTTTTTTAATTGCTTATATGTTTGCTTTTACCTCCTCCATCTCTAAAATATCCCATCGTCAAATACAACGGTCTGTACACCAGTGACTTGCCTTCTGCTCTGGTGACACTCTTCTTTCTGGTCTACAACGTCCTTGTAGACAGAAGCATTTCAAGGAGAAATTGAGTAGCTGTTTGAAGAAAGCAGAAAGGCATTTTTGAAATGTGGCTAGCAATACACTTGTTTCCAATGTCCATTATGTTTCTCTCCCTTTTGTGAAACACAGCAATTGGATATGATCATTACGTAGATAAGGAAGATGCTCAGTGATGTTCATTAGATGCAGTGCCAGCCACTCACAACCAGCGGACTGGTTACATACACCCAAACTCTCTTCCTAGCTTCCTTAAGTTTCTGCTTTCTCTGACATTAGAGGAAGCATTGCTATTGCAGTGGCCTAAACCAGTAAGCTAGAAAGCATATCAACTTCTCCCTCTTGACTGTGCTGCACATATAAGCGCAGTGCTAAGACTTCCTCAATCAGGACAGCTCTACATTAAGAAAATGGGTGTTAAACTTGTTTCTGGAAGTAACCTGTTTTGCTAGGGGAGCCAAAAATGCTTTTACCAGCCTAAGTCATCTCCAGTCTTTCCCCCTTTATGTTGTTATAACTCTTGTCTTCCACCTGTTGCAAAATCCGAGCTTTCCAAAGCCCATATTCCTACCCTCCAGACCAGTCAAAATTGAGCATTTTGAAAGAGACAGAGAGAGAAAGAAAGAAAAGAAAGAGAGAAAAAAGAAAGAGAAAGAGAGAGAGAAAGAGAAAGAGAGAAAGAAAGACTTTCTTCCTCATTCAGTTATTTAATATTCACTTTTAAGATCCCTCAGAACTTGGTCTCCCACCACCTCTTTCCTTTATAATAGCAGGAGTTATGCACACATAGATACGTGTGCGTGTGTACTTTTTCCCTAGGGCTGCTGCCCTGGAGCAACCTCACAAAGCTGTGCAAGTTTCTAATAGTAAGAAATATCTAATGGGATAAAGTAGATAGCACAGGTCTACACGGCCGGAGTGTAACTTGAAACGGCAAAAACTGTTCCTATCATTTCGAGCGGTGTTTTCACTTTGTGATTCAGTGTATTTGTTATTAGACTAAAGGTCGTAAAGAATGGGGCAACTGAAGTCAAGAACATGTTGTTCTCCCCAGGAAACAGGGGTTCCTTTCCAGGTAGCATCAATCACGAATAAGCACAATGGTTAGTTTTGTAGAAGCCAGTGCTTCTGCTCCTCTTTTACTCTTTTTGTGGTCACAGCTATTATGTATCTGAGTATAAAAAAAGGGGCTGCTTCCCAGTGTGACTTTAAACACCCTTCGCTTCAGCAGAGGTGATTCCACTTGGAAACTGGGAATCTTACAGTGTAAGAGAGGCAGAACTGTTCTAGAATCCACACTTCTACACCCTAGGATCCACCTAGGTGAACAACACATATGGTGCTCTTCTAGGAAATCTTTCTTAAGTGAGACCTTACCATCCTACAATGGTTTGGGTCAGAAGGGACCTTAAATCTCATCCAGTTCCAAGCCCCCTGCCACGGGCAGAGACACCTTCCACTAGAGCAGGTTGCTCCAAGCCCCATCCAACCTGGCCTTGAACACTTCCAGGCATGGGGCATCCACAGTTTGTCTGGACAACCTGTGCCAGTGCCTCACCACCCTCACATTAAAGAATTTCTTTGTAATATTTCATCTAAATCTGCTCTCTTGCAGTTTAAAGCCACTCCCCCTTGTCTTAACAGCCCTTGTCAAAAGCCCCTCTCCACATTTCTTGTAGGTCTCCTTAGGCACAGGAAGCCGATATAAGGTCTCCCCTGAGCCTTCTGTTCTCCAGGCTGAACAACCCCAACTCTCTCAGCCTGTCTCCTTAGGAGAGCTGCTCCAGCATCATCTTAGTGGCCTCCTCTGGACTTGCTCGAGCAGGTCCACATCCCTTTTGTGTTGGGGGCCCCAGATCTGAACGCAGTACTGCAGGTGGCGTGTAATGAGAGCAGAGTAGAGGGGGAGAATGCCCTCCCTTGACCTGCTGGTCACGCTCCTCTTGATGCAGCCCAGCACACGGTTGGCTTTTTTCAGCGAGCGCACGCTGCCGGCTCATGTGGAGCTTCTCGTCAACCAACCCCCCAAGTCCTGCTCCTCAGAGCTGCTCTCAATCCAGCCTCTGCCCAGCCTGTAGCTGTGCTTGGGGTTTCCCTGACCCAGGTGCAGGACCTTGTACTTGGCCTTGTTTTTAATCCTTTATGGTTTTATGCCTTGAAAATCTGCATGAATATTCTTCCGAATGCTTTTTTAATTTTCCAGTATTTTAGGAGGTCTTCTCATTTCCTGTACAAGGTTACCAGCCTCAACCCAGCCTCTGCCCAGCCTGCAGTTGTGCTTGGGAGCCCGTATCTGTTCTTGGGATGGATGTTAGATGTCAACTAACACCATCACAAGAAGGCACTTGTGCTGTAGTAGTGGGGCGATTACTTTCTTCTGCCCAGAAACATCAAGCCAACGCTATTTTTTTCACATCTCACAGCGACCCATCAGCCGTGGGGCACACGTTCTGTTGGCCCTACGTTGTGCAACCCCCGCTTCGTGTCCCGCGCCGGGGCTGTGCGAGGGTGTCAGGGTCCTGCCTGGTTCGTACCCGCCTGAGAGCGCGACGGCACTTGGGGAACTTGGTCCTCCCTGGCATGTTCCGCCCCCAGGCCCGCAGGGACCGCGGGGCCCTCGACCGGTCGAGGGC